ACCAGAACATAGAGCTAGAGTTTATAGACAAGTTTAATGCCAGAATTTATATTATAGCTTTTAAAAATCACTTGATTATCTGAAAAACAAACATGTTACAAAGCTTTGTGTTATTGTGTTTGTATATTATTCTGCTCCAAAAAGCTCTTAATAACTTAGTAACTGAGTGAACTTCTTAGAATCACAAGACACTCAGCTTTCCCTCCCATTTCCTCCATGGTCACGTTTTCCATGTGTTGTAATGATCAGGTTGCTCGACCACAATCACCCAGCCCCACCCTCACTGTTTTGCTAACCAAAACAACTCAACACATACTGTGGCAACTCTGAACCAATTAACAGATAGTCCAGTCAGTCTTATTCTCCTCCCTGAATTGGAATACTTGAGGGAAACACCTGTATTTAACACCTTCCACTCCAGGACACCTTTCAGCTCTATCCATATTTTGTTTATAGTTAAATGTTCCTGAAGTCTTTAGCTTCTTTTATTATGCTGACTCTGGTGCTACGTGGATGTTTGTTAGGATTTTGGGCTTCACCACCCAGAATGTGTACATCTGTGGGTCGATTGCTTGATGTATTTTTCATTCAAAGTTCTGGAAAATTAGGGTTCTGAAGAAATTATTTATGTGTTCAGTCACTGGCTGAGCTCGCCCCCCCCCCCACACCCCCCACCCCCCCACCCCCCCCCCCCCCCCCCCCCCCCTCACCAAGTGCCACTGCCTCTTCAGGTCCAAAACAAACCTCTGAAAACCAAAAAAGATCTCCCTTCCCTGTAGGAATTTTTAGGTTATTCTGATCTGACTTGTGGAGTTTAGAAAATAAATGAAAATATCAGGAAACTCCACCATTAACTGGCAGTTAAAGCTGTGGTAGGCAGTTTTATTTTTTGCTCCCATAAAATAATCTTTTAGCCAGAATAATTCAAGTTGTCTAAAGGGAAAACTAGAATTCTGTGCCTCCTCCTGGATCTGTTTTCCAGGCCTTTAGAAAAGCTAGTGACATTGGCCAGATTCGTCCAGGTCGTCATTGCTTATTGCATTTTTATCAGTACATCATTGGTAAAACAGGTGCATTTAATGAAAAACGTATTGTTTCTATTTGTATGCCTACTTGTAGGCATTATGTTGATTTATTTATGCCTACAGTCTCAGCCTGGGCCCTGCCTGCTTATGAAAAGAGTGTGTGGTGTTATTACCACTCCTGCTGTGTGTTCATTTCCTTTCACCTGCTCCTGTACTCCTGCATTTATTGACACACTGTTTATCACCCTGGAGTTCTGCAATGACAACACCTCCTGACAAACTCCCCACACACACACACACACCACACACAACACTTACCTGTAATCCAGATCTGGTCTGCCTAAAAGTCCTGTATGATTACAACAAAGATAAGAATGTCTAGACTAGCAGGGTATTACATGCATTAGTCAGTGGGTTGTGTGTTTGTTTTGTATCCCACTTCTTACAATGCTTCAGAATACTGTTATGAGTCAGTCAACAATTTCTGCTGCAGTGGAAAAATCTGCAGAAAAAATAGCTGGTGATTCATATGTGCAAAAACTATTTCTGGGTACTTTTGGCCTGATAATCATTACATCTCCATCCTGTGTTTGACAGAGCAGAAAAACACACCCACACACACACACACAGCAGGGGGTTGTGCAACAGCGGCTGCCTTTAAAGAGCGTGTGCAGTCAGGTGGGAAATTCCCTGCTCACAGTCTCAGCATTCCAAAAGAGCCAAGTTCAGCCTTTCGCCACATCCAAGTGTCTGTCAGATGGCGCGTAGTGCTACCCTTCCTGCATGTGTCGTGTGTGTGTGCGCATTTTTCTGCGCGACAGACGATAAATGAGGAGGAAGTCCAAGTAAGAGAGCCCGTTTCAAGTTCGTGACCCTCCCCCGTCTAAGTAAAGTTGCTCGCAACCCAAAACAGGACGTATGCATGTGTGCCTGCGTCAGTACACTATCGGCCCAAAACTCAAAAACAACAACAGGTCGGGGCCTGTGTTTGATCCCCACATGGGGTCTGAGACAGACTCCAGGCACTCATAATGTCACTGTAGTTGCAGTGTGTGTCATTTCCCAGTAGAGTCACACTGATCACAGACCACACTGTACAGTAAATATTCCCCGAGGGACAGTACACATTATTTAACTCGTCACGCTACACAGCACTGCCACATTCTGCTTCTACTGAAGGCTTCTGTAAAATAATAAACCGTTCCCTTCAGGCCTGTACAAAGGCCAGTCTGCAGACCTGATACAGTTCAGATAAAGTTATATAATCTGATACAGAAAGTGGGTTATCACATCGTGACAAGTCACGCTTGTGCTACCGTCTCAGAGCTTGCAGAACAAAATGTGAGGTTTTGGATGTGTGAGATAAGAAGTGAGTGTATGTGTGTGTTTATGTGTCTTAGGCACTGGACAGCATTGTAGATGTAAAGATCTGCTGCAGTATTTGGGGAATCTGCTTGGTGTCCATGGCAACAAAGGATCTCCCCGGTGGAAGGGTCTTTTGGAGTCTGAAACAAAGAAAAAAAAGAAGAAGTTTGAGGTTAAACGATGGAGACTGAACTTGAGCAACAGAATCCTTTCCCAAAATAAAACAACAGACTAGTGCTGTTTGCTGTGTAATTCGGTCATAGACATTTCCATCGACAGAGCACAGTGTGTGTGAATGAAAGGCCTGTCATTCACATGGTGGAGCTTAGGAACAACACAGCACAGCCACTTGTACATAGCCACTACCTCTGATGGCACTTCTTTCACTCCCCCGATTGCTTACACATTCCTCTTTTCCAATTAGCAGTTTGTCCTCTATATGAGGACACACAGAGTCAACAGGGATATAAACAGTATTCCCATAATGTCATATTATGTAACTGTATGGCTTCCCCATAAATAAGTTCCTATGCTTGCGTGCTTCCATGACATGTGGGTATATTATTCTCATTCCTCTATCCCAGTGGTTCCAACGTATTTCCCTTTCTATCAGTGAGTAAGCTGACTAAGTGACATATTTTATAGATGTTTCATATTATATTCAATGCATAACAATAACAGTAGAGAACAACTGATAAACTGTACAATAATCCAAACAGTGAACACAATAACTGCAGGACGTAAAACCAGAGATTTGGATTTTGAGCAGATTATTTCCTGTGAATATTGATCAGAGATGATTACAGAGACCAAGCCTTGCGACCACCCGTGAAGCTTTTTGGGTTTCCCGACCAAAGGCATTTCCAGGGGTGGGGCTGTCCTTCCCTGAAATTTGACTGGCTACCCCAAGTGCCCCACCCCATTTTCCTTCCCTCTTCCACTCTGCATTGTATTTCAGAGGCTGTAGCAGGCTTCGTTTTAAAGCTTGAGTGAAGACACTCTTGTCATATGAACCTAGATGACCTAACACACCCACTGGTACCATTTAATGCTAGCAAGTCAGTAAGGAAGCTAAGTAACACTTCAAAGTTAAACTACATTTTTGCTTAACTGGCATGGTTATTTTTAAAGGGAAAGAGTCTCCTCTTTGCAGACATGCCCACTTTATGCTAATCCCATGCTAGAAACCAAAACAGTTTTTGACTGTAAACATGTTAATTTCTCCTGTAAAGATGGGCATTTTTATATGGGGCCTTATGGAGATGGACTACCTGCTGGAGCCAGCCTCAAGTGGCCGTTGGAGGAAGTGCCAAAACTGCAGTTCCATATTCCATATTGGCCATATTGGCTTTATTTGCTGCCACAGAGGTTGCCACTTGCTCTCTTCCAGTATTCTGATTTGAACCCACATACTGCAGTTTGAACTTTCTTTGCATTCAGAGTTAATGTCTACCTGACCTGGCTTCTGGAGTTAAAGAATAGCCCCTACTGTAGCTGTTTCCAGGGTCAGCAGTCTCTTTATTTGCACTCGGTCACTCAGCTTCTTTCTCTTTCTCTCTCTTGCTGTTCTTACTCTTCACAGCAGTCATGAGTGGGTTGCAAAACAGGTCATTTTCATGTATTCTAACCGTGAAGCTGGCGGCTTCTCAAAGTGGATTGTCATCTGTAATCTGGGATGTGACAACAAAGGTCTGCGGGACCAACAGCAGTCCATTTAAAACACCATTTAGAGTTATTTGCATCCATCTCCATCCTTCCTGTTACCTTATCCTTCTTCTTATGCACATTTTTTTAATCCCTGTTCACGTATCCTTCCTATTTCCTCGTTTGCTTCCCTTCACTTAACTCCACCAAGATGCATGCATGACCCGCATCTCCACCTCCTCACCTTTCAGCCTGATCGCCAAGGGATCCGATGAAGATGGCAAAGGCATTAACCTGTGGGTTGGAGGTCAGGACCTGGGCGAAGCGCTCAGGCTGGATGCCATAGCGCTCCAGGTTGGCGTCACTGAGCACCACCACGAAGTGCTCGTCGGCCTCTTCTCGCGCCAGCTCCTTGATGCTGGCGTCGGTGCCCTCAAGAGTGTAGTCGCCGCTCATGCAGAACTGAGCGTGGGCGTGCATGGTCTGCGGAGTGGGGGAGGGGATAGAGAGAAAGGGAAGATATATTATCCAGTGCATTGCACAGGTAGATAATTTGCTTGTGAACTCATGGGCCAACTGTTATGTCTTTCACTTGTTTTCTCTCTTTCATTTGTTGACCATATTACCTGAGTGGAGACTGGTGTACCGAACCTTGGGCGGAGCCTAAACAGCTGCATCTTATCCTGCATCAAATACTCAGCCCCTCATCAACCCCCCCGCACTGTAGTGCAGTCAGTCTGTGTCTCTAAAACACTGAATACCTGTTGCTTTTTGCATTTCACTAACTTCAAAGTTTTGCAAAAAACTATTACAGCTCAAAATTCCAGTCTCCCTGTGTCTCTGTGTTCAGCAGTTGGGTTCACTGACCTAGCCTTAACACCAACTTGCAATGGTATATTCAATACAATTTTTTTATATTTGTTGAAACTGTCTTTACATTCTGACTGCAATCAGTAAAACAAATGCTCTGAAAAAAAACAATACCCGGTATTTGTGGCTGTCGTCATAATAAGCCTGACTGGCCTACCTGTGCACACTCTGCCCATGCACTCACTGTGTTTTAATAGGGTAGTTTTGAAGGGATGCCTAAAGGGATGGGGCTTTAAGGATAGCTTAAATAGAGTCACTATTCACTCAGTAATTTTCTTCCCTGGACAAATATAAAACTAAAGTAAAAACAACACCAAAAACACCTTATAGTTAATGTAAACTTTTAGCAGCATTTCAAGACAGACTTTTGAGACAGAAAGAAACACAACAATACAAACCATTGTTTTCATTCTGTTTGGGTGGGAATAACTGATGTACAGTAAGAAAACATCAACAGACTGATTATGAACCTGTACCTTGAGGACTTTGAGTCTCTGCTTGTTATTCTTAGGGACTTTGTCCGGTCTGATCAGCTCAATGTCGTAGCCGTCGCCTGAGTGGCCCACTATGTCGTACTGCAGAGAAAAAAAAGTTTATGTAAGAGAAGATTTAATAAAGGTAAGATGTGCCACACCACAAGAATAAAAATGGCAACAATGACAGTATCTTATTGTTGCACAGCTCAAAGTTAATCAAGTGGAAAGATGTAGTTATGATGGCGTACAAACATCAGATGGTAACTTATAGAAAGCTGTCCTCTCTCCAACCTGGGCCCACTATAGGATGTCCTGTAGACCATCTATCATAGCTGACTTACATAAGGACGGGTCAGCCTGGCACCGTGGGCTCCATTCAGCTATTTGAGGACCCAGGTGTCCAAGTATATGGGCTATTTCTAATAAGAGCGGTTATAACTGTGGTGGTCAAAGGTATGCGACTGTGTGTCTCATCTGTCCATATCACTGTTGCTGGGTAACAGTGTTTTTTTTAAATGTTGTCTTTTTAGATCAGAATGTTTTTTATACTATATATTTTTCTTTTTTTCTGTTAAATTTGTATACACCTCAGGGACCAGGAAGTCCTTGATAAGTATAATTAAAATTATAATATAATAAAAATATAAATTAAAGTTCAGTGGGTTTTTTTCCTCCCAAAAAAACTGATATGTAAGTTTTCCGTTCCATTCTTGGCTTGTAAATAAGTAGGTCATGAAACCATAAAGTGACAAATTCTTGAGCCTAATGTTTCTTCGTGTCATATCTATTTACATTCACTGTTTCAAATAGAATTTCTAAATAGATGTATGTTTGACCTATAGTAACACCATCAATGGATATCACACACACACACACGTCTTTTCTGTTATTAGATGCACTTTTATGTAATGGCTGTTATGCATAGAAAGCAGTTATACTGACATGGGATGAGTGGAACTGAAATGTGTGTGTGTATGTGTGTAAGAATGATATGTGATCATTATTAGGTTGGGTTGAATGTCACTTAGGGGCCAAGAAGTCTGTCTCAGTTCAACTTTTTTACACACGCTCATATCTCCCTCTCCCCCCTTCTCTCTGCCCCTCTCTTTTTGGCTTCCTCCATCCTTTGCCTATGATCCTACTCTCCTGGTTAAGCTGTTATACTTATTTTCCATTCATGAATGACCAATGAACTATGTCAGTGGTTGAGTTTTCTAGGCACAAACTGAAACAAATATAGTATTATATTAGCTAATAGGTAATAAGTGCCTTATAAGATGCTATTTAAACACAATGCTATAAAACACTATATAAGTGTTAATAATAGCATACACATGCTCGGTGTGACCATCTCACCTTGAACTTGTGTTCATAGTTCTCCAGAGCCTCCATGACCATACACACAGCCTCCATGGAGCGCTCCAGCCTGCCGTCCACACCGTTGAAGCGGTACATGCTGCCCGACACGTCAGCCAACACCCGTAAACGCTTGGGTTTCTGCTGAGGACTGCCCAGCTGTGAACATGCGAGGTAACACATATACAAAACACAACATTTTTAAAGAATATTAGTGGAGAAAAACAACAGAAAATACCTAGTTTGGAAAGTGTTTTGTGGAATTTGGTGTGGCTTACTTAAAATAACATTCAACACAATGCCAGGAGTTTAAAACTGGTTGCAATTATGTCAATGTAGACCTTCAGGCCAGACCAAAAATATGCAATGCTTAGAGCTAAATAAGGTAGAAAAACATGGCTTGCATTTTATGGTTAGTGTGTGTTTGTATGATTAGTGTGAGAACTATCTCTGTGCTATATATGTGTTCGTGTTCGGGGGGCTTTCTGGAGCACACATTGACAGCAGGAGAAATGACTAGAAAGTGTGTGAGCTGGAGCAGAAACGCAGGGTGTAATAATCTCACACACACCACTGGAATGTATCGTCTGGCAGATAAAACTAAAAATTCTGTGTGTAAGTCGGGAGTGTGTGTGTGTTTGAAGGTGTGAAAAAAATAAAGTTTAAGAGTGGTTCAAATATCTGCACGCATGCACACATGCACACACACACAAACACCTACACACCAATCTACAAACCACACGCTCTGGTTCCAGGTCCCCTTCGTTATATATACCTTCTCTCCAGTCATGTCGAAATCAATGATTTTAGCGTCATCCAGTTCTCCCAGAGCCTGGTTCATCAACCACTGTCGCTCCTTTCCTTTAGCCTGAAACGCACACACGACACAAACATATTACGTATCAGTCAAACAAATACATAAACACATTTCAAAATGTGTCTGGGGAAGATTATTTCATTTTGGTGGGGCTTTCAGAGGCAACAGATTGTGAAACAAGTACAAAAAAGAAAAACAAACCCAGACAGTTGTAATTATTCAGGGTGGCACATTATATACAACACATACATACATTTGTATCCCTCAGCACTACCAACTAACATTCAATTCAATTCAATT